AACACCAAATTTCTCCGCACGTGAAATTTGTTTAGAAGAAATAAAAAATCTTTTGTAAGATTTCTGCGATATAATTCTCACACCATATGATTATGCTTTACGCGTTCTACGAAATCATACAAATCTTACAACACGAACAATATTGTTGTCGTGCACGAACGAAAAAGTTTGTCCCATATAAATTGAACGAACGAAATAATTTAACGAGATCGTTACGCAGTTATAATTAGTTAAACAACACCGCCAGGAAAGAAAACACATTGTAATCTTGTAATTGGAACACGGATTTCACGCATTTTTTACAAAAATTAACAGATGAAATACGAAACGATGAAGACGCGACTACGTTTTAAGAACACTGTAGCACTGTTTTCGACTCGTTAAAAAGATCGTGCCAAGAAGAAATTCATCTGAATGTAATTTCCTTATAAATGACTTGAGGAAATTACTTCGCATAAAAGTTATGATCATCTGGTTATGATCATTAATCACTGCCCGAATCGTTCAAACTTACATTCTAACGTCTTCGTTCCACCGTAATCGATGATCGTTTTTACATATTTTATTATACATTTATTATACTCCATCGTATCGTACGAAAACGATGCTCGTAAAATTGTAGTAACTCATGTTACAGGAACCGGCGTTGTAAGAGAAGAATCCGTAATCCGTAGCAGAAAGAAAATATAACGTTCCCGATCGAGCAGTGAGACCACGGATTTTGCGATTCATGGATGCAGAAAATATTCCCGGTCAAAGTCCCGCTAATTAGTTGGAAACAGCGCTGAAAAGCTTCGTCCACGCAGCATAAAATCGTTCGTAATTGTCGGATGGGGCGGAGGTGGGTGGTGGTTTGTTTCGCGATAGCCAAGAAAATCTACGGTAAAAGGGAAGAAGCTGGTATTGTCGGAAGTTTGCCGAAGTTCACCGAAGTGGACCGACCTCTCCTCGATCCTCGCGTTCGGCCGCGCCGCTCTTTTTCCGCAAACTTCTTCGCTGCCGCAATTTCGAAAGTTAAGTCGTTTTTCACCCCTCGACACGGCCGAAGTTTCGCGCGAGCGGGTTGGAGACAGTCGCGTCACGAAAATCTTATTACCACGCTCGCCCTGTCGATTCGCTCGGTATCAATCCATCAGGCTCACACGTGACCCTAAAAGCTATCGATTCGACGTTTCCTTTCGGCTACGAAATGTTAAAATCGATTAGCAACAATTTCGTCGAGCCCGTATTCGCGTTATTCAGCTGCAAAATGCAATTGCTGTCCGTTTCCAGACGATTGTTCGGCTTGGAAAGAGAAGAAACGATTCGTCAGGACGCATTGAAAAATTCATTCTAGCGCCGATACGTTGTTCGGTATAGCAAATTTTATTAGAATCTGCACAGTAATTCTTCATTTACTCAATAATTAATATATGAATAAATAAATAAATATATATATAATAAATATATAATATAATAAAAATATAATAAAATAAATGAAATATAAAAATGTAATAAAATAAATATATTTAAAAAATATAAAAATATAATAAAATAAATATATTTAAAAAATATAAAATATAATAAAATAAATATATAATAAATAAATAAATAAATAATAGTATGGAGATTTTCAGGTTGGTAGGTTGAAATCAGCGATTGACAAAGAAATGCGATCCTTATCTATTCTTAATTTCATGCGAATGAAATTCTAACATCGTATGTTTATATAAATATGTTAGTCAGCAGATTTTGTTTATTATATACTCGGTCGATAATCCATCTTCTGGTCTTAATACCTAATTTAACCAATATCGAAGATTATATGGATTTTCCTTTATGAATTTTTAATCAAGCAGTATAATGTCTGTTCTCTCTCTCTCTCTCTCTCTCTCTCCCTCTCTCTCGAAAATTATATTTTTCGTGGAAACGCGAAAGTTCGATTACCGTTTATTAATTGGAATCACGCGCAAGATATTTCGTGCCCATAGCGCGTTTGATTATTCATTTATTCGGCGCGGTAGAAAACACGAGCTTAAATGGGAATCCGATGAAACTACACGGTGCAAGCAAAATTTCCATTCGAATCCAGTTTTCGTAAATTCAATTATATCACCGCGATCGTTTATATTTATATATATATATATGTTTCGTGTTGAACGGCGCGTCGGAACGGCATCGGGTTGCGTAGGACGTCATTAAAAATTGTTCTAAATCGTTGGTTAGGAGAAGCTTCCGTTATAAATATCACGGAATACGCGAATCGTTATTTCGCGTAGGTGGTACACGATTCGAGAAGAGAATATTTATTTTATTTTCATTCCCAAACGACGGAAATGCGATTCGATCGCTGATCGTAGAAACAGATGGAAATTCCGATGAAACAATTTTAAATTGGTTACGAGTTACGTTATGTTCCCACACGTCGTTGACCTCGCAGAGAATTTATAAATCAACGATCTTGCTCGTGAACATCGTACTTTCCGTTACATCGCAAGTTACTTAGCAAATACCTTATCTCTCCTATACCGTATCTCGTGGAACACAGCAAGTCAGAATTGAGTTTGCGGAGCGATGAATTACTGATCACGCTGCACAACTGATTCATGAAGAACGAGCATCGGCACTCGTGCCGAATCCAAGAAGAAGCCGACGTTGCAGGTAATCCGAAACAAAAGCAGCGAACCTAGTTTTAGCGCGGTTCTATTCCTGAAGACTACAATTTCTCTCCGTTCGATCAAAATACTACTTTTTTTTCTCTGTAGAAAAGAGTTTGCAAACATTCTCGAACTCACATACAAAACCGTGGACCAAAGTTTCGTAAAACAAAAGTTTGCCAATTGTGCTGCGAAAATTTCAAAATTGGTCCAAGACTGGTCCTCGATTCCATAGCCATATGATTTATGAAGAATGAGCATCAGCACTCGTGCCGAATCCAAGAAGAAGCCGACGTTGCAGCTAATCCTAACCGAAAGCAGCGAGCCTAGTTTTAGCGCGGTTCTATTCCTGAAAACTACAATTTCTCTCCGTTCGATCAAAATGCTACTTTTCTCTGTAGAAAAGAGTTTGCAAACATTCTCGAACGCACATAAAAAACCGCGAACCAAAGTTTCGTAAAACAGAAGTTTGCCAATTGTGCTGCGAAAATTTCAAAATTGGCCCAAGACTGGTCCTATGATTCATGAAGAACGAGTATCGGCACTCGTGCCGAATCCAAGAAGAAGCCGGCGTTGCAGCTAATCCTAACCGAAAGCAGCGAACCTAGTTTTAGCGCGGTTCTATTCCTGAAAACTACAGTTTCTCTCCGTTCGATCAAAATGCTACTTTTCTACAGAGAAAACTTTTTTATACAGATAAAAAAGTTTGCAAATATTCTCGAACTCACATACAAAACCGTGGACCGAAATTTCGTAAAACAGAAGTTTGCCAATTGTGCTGCGAAAATTTCAATGGTCTTCGATTCCATAGCCAACTCGATCTCGCTCTCGTGTCAAACTGAATTTTGCTTCCTCGACAAATTTCTAAATATTCTCAAAACGCTAAAGTTTCACAAAGAAAGATGTCAGCTACTTCCACGGTAGAAAAGAATCTGAAAGTCGTCCAAGATCCACGAGTCTGCCGAACGGTTGTTCAGCCTGTCCGGAGACAATCCTGGCGACATTGAACCTGTTGGGATTATGGAATGAAAATGAATATGATTCTAATTCTTTTCTTAAAAAGGACTTTATTTTATTCCTTTATTGAGAGAAGGTATATGGGCGATAACGATCGAGCGACCAAACTCTACCGAGAGTCCGGTAAGAAAAAACGCTTCTTTTATACCCTTTTTGGGTTCGTCTTATCCACCAATCAGAGACGTTTTATTTGTCGCGTTTCACATTGTATACGTGACGCTGGGACCCCCAAACGGTCAGGGCACGATGTATATCTAATGGTACCGGTGATGATGTATCGCGGTATCTACTATATACAGTTTACATCACCGTTGTTGCCCGCTGACGGAACCGGCGAAAATGTAAACCGATATCTTAGTATCTTAGTACTAAGTAAACTATAGATTAATTTTTGTTCGAGGCTAAAATTTCAACAGAACCGGTGTCCGTGTCAGCCCAGTCTGTTACGGTTGGTAATGGAGATTTATGTGGCTGATGGTACTCACTTGAAAGGGAAGCCATAGGACGAGGAAGGCGCCGACCGTGACGGCCAGGGTTTGTCCGTAACGCGGCAACGCCAAGGTCTGCGTTTGATGCCTGAACGATAACTCGACGGTGTAAATGGCACGCGCGTGTGCACGAGCCACCAGGTAGACGTACATGTAGCAGGCGATCAGAACAAGGGCGCTGGGCGCCCATACCGCCACCACCAGGAACACCCTAACCGGTGGCAACACGGCCGCTCCGAACCTGCAGCTGCCGCTGTAACAGAAAGCGAATCGGTTTCACTCGTTAGCCGGCCGCGTTGCGCAATCCCGCCGCGATTCTACTTCCGTTTAATTAATTTGAACCTTTGTGACCGGTTCAATCGCGGCCGACCCGTGGCGTAACCGGTCCCGATGCCTGCGGGAAACGTTCCTCGTCGAATACGCTCGAATATTACCAGCACGCGTTGCAATCTACCGGGTGTTGCGCAACGTACGCGCACGGCCGTGTTATTTGGAGCAGTCGCGGATTCATTAAAATTCGCCGCGGTTCCGGGAAAGGCTCCGAATGTTCGAACTTGGAAATACACACGTAGAACGAATTTATATGCAGAATCGTTTTTGTCGGTGCGCGAGTGCGAATTATTCTTATTGATTGGGCGTCGAATTTGCGACTCGAAGCTGAGAGGTGATTCGGAATCGTTGCTTGTTATTTATCGTTATTTATTAGATACATTAATCGTTGCTTATTAAAACATTGACTGCGAAATTGGTATTGAAATTTTATGTTTACGCTTTGATATTATATGACATTGGTTGATCAAATATTGTTATCAGCAAGAAGCACGGATATTCCACTAGAGAACGGTTGAAGCGTATATCGAAAACAATATATATTTTTCTTCAATATTTTAGATTCGAATTTCGTAAAAGAAAGGTTCTGGATTTCTCTGAGATTGCGTTGAGAAGTAATAAAATTAAAGAATGTCTAATTTAGAGAAATCCGTGTAATTCAATTGTCAGATCGAGTGGATTAAATATCGAGATTCTTCGAGACTCTTCCACGTTTATTTATTAAAATTTTTTCAGGTCCATAAAAAAGACACATTTTTGATTTCGCTACGGTACAGGTAACGTGGCGATATAATACTTCTGATGTAACTATTGCCCGAGAGTGATTAACAAGCCTGGAAGAGTGGGCGTAATTAAGATAAGGAAGGGGAACTCCTTACGGCGCTCGAAAAATTGTTTGCCGAGTGGAGAATATTAAAGAAATTTAGTGAAATCCGTGTAATTTAATTGTCAGATCGAGTGTCAGATCGAAATCGTTGCTTGTTATTTATCGTTATTTATTAGATAAATTAATCGTTGCTTATTAAAACATTGATTGCGAAATTGATATTGAAATTTTATGTTTACACTTTGATATTATATGTCAGATCGAGTGGATTAAGTATCGAGATTCTTCCACGTTTATTTATTAAAAGTTTTTCAGGTCCATAAAAAAGACATTTTTTATTTCGCTATGGTATAGGTAGCGCGGCGATATAATACTTCTGATGTAACTATTGCCCGAAAGTGATTAACAAGCTTGGAAGAGTGGGCGTAATTAAGATAAGGAAGGGGAACTTCTTACCGCGCTCGACGGTGCTCGAAAAATTGTTTGCCGAGTGGTGAATATTAAAAATCGTTTAATTTAGTGAAATCCGCGTAATTCAATTATCAGATCGAGTGGATTAAATATCAAGATACTTCGAGACTCTTCCACGTTTATTTATTAAAATTTTTTCAGGTCCATAAAAAAGACACATTTTTGATTTCGCTATGGTATAGGTAGCACGGCGATATAATACTTCTGATGTAACTATTGCCCGGCTGTGATTAACAAGCCTGGAAGAGTGGGTGTAATTAAGATAAGGAAGGGGAACTTCTTACGGCGCTGGACGGTGCTCGAAAAATTGTTTGCCGAGTGGAGAATATTAAAGAGCGATTCGACTAGAATATTTTACGACGAGAGTTTACAATTTGTCTGCCTCCGATCTTGATAATATTACGAGGTACGGAGCTTCCTCCAGCGATCTTCGAGCGATCATATTTTTTTAGCAGACATTAAAACGCTATTTTCCCACCAAGACAGAAATGAAATTTTCCCTTCGTTCTCGCGCATCATCGAAGAAAGATAACACATTTTCTCCGCGCGAGCTTCCTTTGTTGCCCCGATAGGACTTCCTCTCGCGAGAATATTTCCCAAGATGGCGGCAGCGATTTCTTAGAAACGAGCGGAACCGATCGAGATCTCGTTCTTCGAGAGAGAAAAAAACAAGAAGATACGGTCCGTTTGAAAATCCTGAGACCGAAACGATGAAAAACAGACGCCCGTAAAATTGACAGAAAAATGATCGGCGCTTCGATCGACGACATCGTCGTCGCGTGTCTCGCACGTCCGAGCCGTTTTCAGTTGCAAAGCAATTCCGATCGGATACGGAAGTCTCCAGCAATAAAATGGAGGGTTTCGAAAGTATAGAATTTGCATTGATGGATTCAATCGCGGCCAGCGGGCACCGGCCGTTGCAAAATGGCCACCGTTTTACAGGCGACACCAGAGGAGAGCGATTCTATCCCCGGTCTCCTTCGGCGGACAATGAAGTTACATAAACGGAACAGATCAGTCCGTTGTCCAATGCCCGATGAATACAAAGGACCCGGTTGTTTGTTGCACCACGGCAACGTGGACACGTGCCAAGGTCGATCCTATGGTGGCCGTGTATCGATTACATTCTGCACAATCTCTACGCGAACCTCTAACGTTTACCGGCGAACTTTCTCCCCTGTTTCATGTCAGATGCTGCCGCAATATCCGCCGGAATCGCACGACCCCGATGATGCCCCCTCTGAATCGCAGAAATTGCGGCGGGATATTAGTTAACGATTCAACGTGGCCCCGACGTGTTTCTCGACGTGCTCCTCGACGTTTCGGCGCCGCGGATTCAATTATAAACTGCGGAGGAGCGCTGACGCGAGGAATATGTTAGACATTAATGCAGAGATCCTGCACTAGGTATGTGCGCGGATCTTCCTTATTCTGTCCTATATTCAATCCGCGAATGCTTGAAGCAATTTTGGCAGCGTTGTCTATTTTTAGATGGACCGCTTCGGCGAATTCGGATTTTATATGCCATTTGATATTATATGCCATTGGTTGATCAAATATTGTTATCAGCAAGAAGCATGGATATTCTTCCACTAGAGAACGGTTGTAGCGTATATTGAAAACAATATATATTTTCCTTCGATATTTCAGACTCTAATTTCGTAAAAGAAAGGTTCTGGATTTCTCTGAGATTGCATTGAGAAGTAATAAAATTAAAGAATGTTTAATTTAGTGAAATCCGTGTAACTCAATTGTCAGATCGAGTGAATTAAATATCGAGATTCTTCGAGATTCTTCCGCGTTTGTTTATTAAAATTTTTTCAGGTCCATAAAAAAGACATATTTTTGATGGGAAAATGTGGAATCCCAAGTTCAGCGAAACTTCGTGGAAAATGAAATCGAAAATACGGGAGAGACATTCTCTCGTCGACTAAAATAGCTTCTCTTGCGAAAAGGTAAAGCAAAAATTAAATTGAAGCAATTCGTGTTTAATCACTTAACTGCGTCGATCGATTTTTAAGGTATCAACTTTGTATGCGTTTTATGGTCGAGCACACCGAGCGCAGTTTCTTTCGGCAAACTGTTCCAGAATGATTCCAAAGGGAGCGATATTTATGAATACGTTTCACAAGTATTTTAATTTAAGTCGTAGGAAAAAGTATTTTTATTGCAAGACGTAACATTGCCATTTGCTTGTGACGTACGCGTCGTCTACAGCTGAGAGATTAATAGTCAGATTTTCTCGAATTTTAGACATTTGTGTATTTCGCAAGTGCACAAAGATCTGCAGATCAGTTATTCGAATTTGTCGAAAGTTCTAGAATGCACTGCAATTTATTTAGCAATTTTTGCAGTCAACAGAGAGCATGTTTCGAAGATTATTATGCTCGACACAGAATACTCTGGACGATGCTATTGAAATGATTTTACAAGGTCGTCCGAAACACTTACTTTCGCCAAACTTTAACCGCAGAATTTAGAAATCCAGTGAATTCTCCCTAATTGACGCTCAGATTGCGCACAAAAGTGGACTATTTTGGAAGCGCGGATACGATTATTCGAGCCTTGCGACTCGTCTTTATAATTGTCGACAATCGGTAACTATAGGTAACTGTACAGGGTGCCCAAAAATGTCTCGCAATCCGAAAGTGGAGGGTTCCTCGGATCATTTGAAGCAACTTTTTCCTTTACAAAAATTTTCTCCGAAGCACCGTTAACGAGTTATTAACGAAAAACAGTGACCAATGAGAGACGAGCTCAGCTGGCGCGAGGCGACCGAGCCAATGAGCGGAACTGGGCTACGCGCGCTGGTTAGCTGGGCCGCCTCGCGTCAACCGTACTCGATTCTTATTGGTCATTTATTGCGAATCTGGCCACCGCGGAGGTGGCGCAGATATGTTTCCTCGCCATTGTTGGCATACACTAGAAATTTAGTACCCACCCCCCGACGGAACACCTACGAGGGGTCCGAACGTGGGTAAATCGCTGCCTTTGCTCATCGTTCATTAGGCTGGGTACGGAAGACCCAGTCTTAACTCCGCGTCCGTGTAAGGAGTTTTGTGGTTTGCTTTGCCCCCAAAGTGCCACACGACAGCAATTGTACAGCGTGTCAGGCTAGGGGGCAATTCTTATTGGTCACTGTTTTTCGTAAATAACTCGTTAACGGTGTCTCGGAGAACACTTTTGTAAAGGAAGAAGTTGCTTCAAATGATCCGAGGAACCCGCCATTTCCGGATTGCGAGACATTTTTGGGACACCCTGTNGCACGACCCCGATGATGCCCCCTCTGAATCGCAGAAATTGCGGCGGGATATTAGTTAACGATTCAACGTGGCCCCGACGTGTTTCTCGACGTGCTCCTCGACGTTTCGGCGCCGCGGATTCAATTATAAACTGCGGAGGAGCGCTGACGCGAGGAATATGTTAGACATTAATGCAGAGATCCTGCACTAGGTATGTGCGCGGATCTTCCTTATTCTGTCCTATATTCAATCCGCGAATGCTTGAAGCAATTTTGGCAGCGTTGTCTATTTTTAGATGGACCGCTTCGGCGAATTCGGATTTTATATGCCATTTGATATTATATGCCATTGGTTGATCAAATATTGTTATCAGCAAGAAGCATGGATATTCTTCCACTAGAGAACGGTTGTAGCGTATATTGAAAACAATATATATTTTCCTTCGATATTTCAGACTCTAATTTCGTAAAAGAAAGGTTCTGGATTTCTCTGAGATTGCATTGAGAAGTAATAAAATTAAAGAATGTTTAATTTAGTGAAATCCGTGTAACTCAATTGTCAGATCGAGTGAATTAAATATCGAGATTCTTCGAGATTCTTCCGCGTTTGTTTATTAAAATTTTTTCAGGTCCATAAAAAAGACATATTTTTGATGGGAAAATGTGGAATCCCAAGTTCAGCGAAACTTCGTGGAAAATGAAATCGAAAATACGGGAGAGACATTCTCTCGTCGACTAAAATAGCTTCTCTTGCGAAAAGGTAAAGCAAAAATTAAATTGAAGCAATTCGTGTTTAATCACTTAACTGCGTCGATCGATTTTTAAGGTATCAACTTTGTATGCGTTTTATGGTCGAGCACACCGAGCGCAGTTTCTTTCGGCAAACTGTTCCAGAATGATTCCAAAGGGAGCGATATTTATGAATACGTTTCACAAGTATTTTAATTTAAGTCGTAGGAAAAAGTATTTTTATTGCAAGACGTAACATTGCCATTTGCTTGTGACGTACGCGTCGTCTACAGCTGAGAGATTAATAGTCAGATTTTCTCGAATTTTAGACATTTGTGTATTTCGCAAGTGCACAAAGATCTGCAGATCAGTTATTCGAATTTGTCGAAAGTTCTAGAATGCACTGCAATTTATTTAGCAATTTTTGCAGTCAACAGAGAGCATGTTTCGAAGATTATTATGCTCGACACAGAATACTCTGGACGATGCTATTGAAATGATTTTACAAGGTCGTCCGAAACACTTACTTTCGCCAAACTTTAACCGCAGAATTTAGAAATCCAGTGAATTCTCCCTAATTGACGCTCAGATTGCGCACAAAAGTGGACTATTTTGGAAGCGCGGATACGATTATTCGAGCCTTGCGACTCGTCTTTATAATTGTCGACAATCGGTAACTATAGGTAACTGTACAGGGTGCCCAAAAATGTCTCGCAATCCGAAAGTGGAGGGTTCCTCGGATCATTTGAAGCAACTTTTTCCTTTACAAAAATTTTCTCCGAAGCACCGTTAACGAGTTATTAACGAAAAACAGTGACCAATGAGAGACGAGCTCAGCTGGCGCGAGGCGACCGAGCCAATGAGCGGAACTGGGCTACGCGCGCTGGTTAGCTGGGCCGCCTCGCGTCAACCGTACTCGATTCTTATTGGTCATTTATTGCGAATCTGGCCACCGCGGAGGTGGCGCAGATATGTTTCCTCGCCATTGTTGGCATACACTAGAAATTTAGTACCCACCCCCCGACGGAACACCTACGAGGGGTCCGAACGTGGGTAAATCGCTGCCTTTGCTCATCGTTCATTAGGCTGGGTACGGAAGACCCAGTCTTAACTCCGCGTCCGTGTAAGGAGTTTTGTGGTTTGCTTTGCCCCCAAAGTGCCACACGACAGCAATTGTACAGCGTGTCAGGCTAGGGGGCAATTCTTATTGGTCACTGTTTTTCGTAAATAACTCGTTAACGGTGTCTCGGAGAACACTTTTGTAAAGGAAGAAGTTGCTTCAAATGATTCGAGGAACCCGCCATTTGCGGATTGCGAGACATTTTTGGGACACCCTGTATTATTCGAGTCTTGCGGCTCGAATAATCGAATCTCTACTTCCCAAATTGTTCATTTTTGTGTACAATCTGAGCGTTGATTAGAGAGAATTTACTGTAGATCGTTCAAATTTGGAAAACAACGGCGGCCATTTTTTTGTCCGGCAAGTTTCGCGTATACCGTAACGTTCTGAGGTTGGCGGGGCAGTTGTGGGCGTTCAAACATCGCGATGGAAGCGTCCCACCGTTTCGGTATTTACGAAACGGTAAAAACTGTTTCAAGCTTTCCTGACAATGCTATAGTCCTGCGCGGGGCGGCGCAGTTATAGCGTGCGCCGTGCCGGGAATAAAGTTCGCGATACAAAGGAATGTTTAGCAAATAGAAGGGGCGGTGGAGGGGGGATGTTTGCGCGTTTCAGTGTTAGATTTGTTTTGCTCTCTTGGACGCGTGTGTTTGAGAAACGTGAGGAAACGAAACGCGGACTGGCCAGCGTCCTCAATGGGAACGCGCGATTCCGGAAGTACAGGCGGAAGGCTGCAACCCTTGTTTGGGGAACGTGACTGCAGGCTAATTCGATTTCAACAATTTTCGGAATGTTTGACGAGCGACGATTGTCAAGGAGAAAGAGAATTTATCTATTCGACACTATCGATTGCGCCGTTTATCTGTGTTTATCGCCTGCGATGTCTCGGTCTACAGCTCTAAATAATTACTTGCGACCACCGGGCTTCGTCTATTTTCGTTCGTTCGCATGCGCTGAACTATTTTTGTTATTTTTGTCTCTGGTATCCTCGGTTGCCACAGTTTTCTATAGTTTCCGTTTCAAATATCTCAGCGGTCAGTTCAAAATATTCGGTTGTTCCGAAAATAATTTCGTTCTTTCACAGGAAAATGGAAAACGATTTTTCAACGGTTTTTTTTCTGGTAGCTTTGAAACCTTATGCTCGTAGAAATCCTGTTTTTTTTATTGGCAAAATATCGAATCAGGCGCTTTTATAATATCCTTGCGAAACGAAACCACTTTCCGAACAACCCAATAATTACTGGAAACTATTGTAACTTATTTATCGTGAAATCATTCTGTAATTGTGCATGCGATAAACTATAATATTTTCGTTTGACTCGTTGCAAGGGGAGAATGAAAGTTTCAGTATTTTATTTTATTTTCAAGAACTGAAATAATTACTCGCATCTATTCTCCTTATGTTATAAACAAGTTGTGCTATAATTGCGTACCAAAGTATTCTTAATTCACTAATTCAGAGCATAAGTTTCTCCGACGTAGGAAAAATCGAAACAGGACGAATAATATCATTCGTCTCGTTGATATTTTATTTGGAACATTCATGACAAAGTACAGTAAATTCTTCCTAATTGGCGTTCCGATTGTGCAGAAAAATGGACAATTTGGGAAGAGGAGATACGATTATTATTGACGATCGGTAACTATAAAAACGAGTCGCAAGTCTCTAATAATCGCATCTCCTCTTCCCAAATTGTCCATTTTTCTGCACAATTTGAGCGTCGATAAAGGAGAATTTACTGTATCAGCGTGCGAAGTATAAAACGGTAGAAACTTCGAAAAAATTTTATATAAAATTATATCATTATTTACTATACGAGCTACCACAATTCTTTAAAATTACACATTCATATCCTGTTTCTTACATTTCGATTTTGTATTTAAGTTTCCAAATTTACTCGTCGATATCGACACGAAATTAGTTCGTAGAATTAAACATGAGATTTTACGATTCCAGAAACTTCCTTCAGAATATTAACAACTCCGAATGTATTCAACCCTATCGGGCACAAAACGAGCAATTTCTAAAATGTCTCATTCGCATTTATTTATAGCTTTTGTTATCACCGACGGTGGAGCGATCGGTAACACGGATCTCGTCCCTAATAAGGACATTTGTTTCAGCGCTGTCGAGCGTGATAACAACAATAAAAAAAAGAACATAAAATAAGGGACGACTAACATTGACTGCAATCAATAAAGTTAATAATAATAGTGACCGACCTGTGCGGTTGGGTTTCGCTAACAGCTTTCGCGTAGATCAAAGGAGAAAGGCCGACGGCGATCGCATAGATCCAGAACACGGCGATGTACTTCTCGATGCTGCTGTGGGTGATGATGTTCTTGTACCTAAGCGGCTGTGCAAGCGAAGTCAGCCGATCGACAGCGATCGCGACAGTTACCAACACGCTCACGCTGCACAAAGCGATCACTATGCAGTAGGGGATGATGCACAACGTGGATACGCCATTTTCCGGCAGTCCGGATAGTTCTAACTTCATACCGAAGGGCATGAACACTCCGACCTGTTCAAAATTGTATTAATTAGAATTGATAGATCGATTGATAGATTAATAGATTAATATACAAGATACGAGAAAATAATATATGTGGCTGATCTTTGTTTTAAGGGCTAGGGTTAGGGTTGGTTTGCGTAAACTTTCAACGCGTATAACTTTCGGAGGAATTTTTGGAGTTTTCTCGGCAAAATTTACGCGATTGTACATAAAAGAGCCAAAAATCTTTGGATCCCTAAAGTTTAGCCGTATCTTTATTTTATTTCGATCTGCAAAGTAGTTCAGAAGACGAGGAACACTTCGTGTTCGATTTCTTGTTCGTAAAGCAGTCTGCGAAAGTGCAAGGCTGCGGAATTCGAATTCGAGTTGAACTTTGTATTGTGCCAAATTTATATTTGGCAGATTAGTATTAGAACGGCTTAGCACATGTACAGGGTGTCCCAAAAATGTCTCGCAATCCGAAAGTGGCGGGTTCCTCGGGTTATTCGAAGCAACTTTTTCCTTTACAAAAATGTTCTCCGAGACACCGTTAACGAGTTATTAACGAAAAACAGTGACCAATGAGAGGCGAGATCAGCTGCCGCGAGGCGGCCGAGCCAACGGCGCTAGCGGTCGAGGCGGTCGGATCCCAGCTCAGCTGGCGCGAGGCGACCGATCCAATGAGCGCGTCAGCCGTACTCGATTCTTATTGGTCACTGTTTTTCGTTAATAACTCGTTAACGGTGCCCCGGAGATAATTTTTGTAAAGGAAGAAGCTGCTTCAAAAGATCCGAGGAACCCGCCATTTCCGGATTGCGAGACATTTTTGGGACACCCTGTATAATAGTTCACAATCTAAAGAACTTTAGCGTTCGAATTGTTCGAACTTCCAATTGTGCTAAATTGATAGCAACGCGGTACTAATTTTGAAATTAGCGAACGATTTACCAAAACTTCTGTAAAGACATATTCGAACTATCCTAACTTGAAACTGTCCTAAAGAAAAGGTCAAAAATAAATTCGAGATAAATGTGCGCGTGCTTATGAGCGTTCTCTGAGACGTGCAATGGGAATTGCGTCACACTTAGACCCGCGTCAGCGTTGCATTTATCCGTGAAACGAGCAGCCCTGGATGCACAGGATGCGTCTTGTGCTTTTTCGCAGTCCGTTGGCCGGAGTTTCCGGATCGCGCAGCTTGTTACGTGCAACGTGAAACAGACAGCGAGCGCATCCGCAGGAAATGAAAGCTTTATGATGACCGCCGCGCGTCGGTTCGGTACTCCGCCCACGGAATCGCGTTTCATAACTACCGATGCAACCTATTGTGAAATTAAGTCGGTTAGGTGTTCGCTACGTTATCGGAAATAAAGATTAATCCGCATTGCGTAAATGTTAGGCAATTATGGGATCCCCACGCCATTCCGAACGATCAAATTATCTTCTCTTTTTATCCTTTAAAGGATATGAATTCATACTGACCACACACAAAGTAAATGTTTTCAATTCTTCCTTGCAAATTGCTCGACTGCTTTTGTCGCAGTTTTCATCGATCTTGAGAATTTTCTTTCGGTTCATGTAGTGGTTCGAACGACTGGGAAAATATTTTCTTCGACGTGTTTAAAATCACNTACATACCTGAGCACAATTCTAGCATTTTTTTTATAGCTATAGCCTTTTCTAATAGTGTAATATAAGGTTTAGTGAAAAATACGTCAAACGATCAACGAAGGAATAACAAGTTCTGAGAGATATTGTACAAATTCATCGAACGCACCTTTAAATACAGATTTTATTGACCTGAAATATAATAACAATACTTTCCATCAACGAATAGCACCTCGTTAAAATAATTAATTTTTACAAACGTAAAACGTGAAACAAATTGTAAGCAAAAACACAATGGTTGGCTGTATATAACGTGAAAAGAATAATGATAAACGTTACTTGTTCATATATGTGTAATTCGGAAAATATTGATTTGCTGGAAGATGTTCATTCATTGGTCAGATCGGGATACGTACACATGCCCAAAATCGTTATTACCGCATGCAAAATTTTGGTCCACCCTCTCTAAAGTTGGATCAATTCAGCCACGAAGTTTTGGAGGTGATGCCTTTATTTTCTCTTGTTTCTAAAAATACCGGAACATCGCCGGTATTTTCATATGGAAAACAGAACGAAAACTATTGTAAATAATGATCGACACGTTTTCGAAAATACCCAAATAATCCTGTCGTTCTAACGAAGGGAAGCTGTTACGAGAACGGATCAGCGACCACGCAAAAGCAAACAGTTTTCTTTTTTTTATAGACAGATAAAATCTGTGCATCTAAAGGAGGAGTTAGGTGAGGGCGAATTAAAGTTGAAGGATCCTCGACCGTCGTTCTTTTGTCACGGTGTTCGGCTGACTAATTAAAATACTCGATTAATCTTCGGGAACAATGAGCCCCTTCAGTGTCAATGCCTCTTTTCAGTCTGACGAGGCTGACTGCAACGCTGACGGGACGACCGAGTCGATTCGGTAGATAACAGGCTTTTCATGGACGTCGACGCGCTAAAATTCGGCTCTGCCGCGTATCGATTTATTCCCGCGAATATACGCGTGGCGTATCATCATTTGATTCTGATAATTTTGCGACGATTACACAGATCGCTGATTTAAAGCAGATCAGTGTCCGCATCAGCGGCTCTGCGCCGCCTCTCCATTGCGCCTCTGTTCGTCCCAACGTCCCCGCGTATGTATGTTTAACACGTTCGTTGTCGAACAATCTTTCCCGAAAATTCCCACGAAATTATTACCCGATTAGAATCCGATTATCCGGTCCTCCGACAGCAAAACTTCCCACTGTATAATTTCCCCTGGAAAAAGGTATTCGAACGAGCTTTTTAAAACGGTACAACTTTTTACCGTACAATGGCTAAAAATATTNTCCCCTGGAAAAAGGTATTCGAACGAGCTTTTTAAAACGGTACAACTTTTTACCGTACAATGGCTAAAAATATTTTCATTCAACTTTGCCATTACTTGCAACGGCGAAAACAGATTAAAATATTACGCTTTACGAACTTTTTTTATCTGCACTTATCTCCACAATTAATTAAAAAATAGGTTTCGTAGATCTCGGCAACTTATATGCAGACCGAAAATTTGATCGATTTGCCTGTACTGTCGCAGAACATTATTGTTGATTTTTTTAAACCAGTTAACTGTGTTTGACGAGTATACCCGTCATGGAGAAGTGGCAGTATTTTGTGTTACGACGAGTATACTCGTCGCGCGTAAGAAGTAGCGACCATTGGCTGTTTAAATTGTAATTTTCGTGAAAACAAAAACATATTCTGAAATTTCAAGATGTTTAGAATATTTTGAGACCAGACCAGAATAAAACAAACGAATAAAACATATGAATAATTATACGAATAATTCGCGATATTGGTGTTCGACATGCAATGTACCATTATGCATCGTTCCTTGCTTTGCTGAATATCACTTTACAACAGCGATCTGAATTTTTAACTTTCATAAATATTTGATTTTTCTTGCGTTTTTCGTTTATTATATATGCAGTATATGTTAACGTTGAGCGAACAAGTAAATATTAGTAATAAAATTGTTAATTTTATAAAATAAAACCGTATTTTCGATCCAATATTTCAACAGCGACACTTACTCTGTGTTTGACGAGTATACTCGTTGTCGTTTGAGTCTCGCGACACATCGGGGTGTCCCAAAAATATCTCGCAATCCGAAAGTGGCGGGGTCCTCAGGCCATTTGAAGCAACTTTTTCCTTTACAAAATTTTTCTCCGAGGCACCATTAACGAGTTATTAACGAAAAACAGTGACCAATGAGAGGCGAGCTTAGCTGGCGCGAGGCGACCGAGCCAATGAGCGGAACCGGACTTCGTGCGCTGGTTGGCTGGGCCACCTCGCGTCAGCCGTATTCGATTCTTATTGGTCACTGTTTTTCGTTAATAACTCGTTAACGGTGCCTCGGAGAAAATTTTCGCAAAGGAAAAAATTGCTTCAAATGATCCGAGGAACCCGCCATTTCCGAATTGCGAGACATTTTTGGGACACCCTGTATAGGTGCCCGCTTTGAAAAGGAGGCGCCACAGCTAACTGGTTCAAAGTAGTCGCACAAAGAGTTGTTTTCGAAAATCGCCCCTGGAGAAAGAATGATCTTTTTCTCAATCCTTAATAAGCGATTCAAAATTCTGCAAAATATAGCTATAAAAATGAAGCTGTGAAAATAATTAATATAGCTATATATTATATATAGCTATGAACATAATTAAATTCAGGCTTGCTTCTCAACTCCATATTACCCTTGAACGAAGGGGTAGAGGCCAGAAGTTTTACAGTATTGCATCGTATGCCGAGAACATTGTCCGGCGCACAAAAATAATGAAAAGCGGCGTGGGTCGGCACCCACGCAAGATAAGCACGAGTAATAGGCACTCGTGCTTATCTTGCCAGACCCATTCATTTCCGAAAATAAAATCACGTCATTTTAACGTTCGACCGACATATCAACGTGTCAAACAGACATCAAATTCGATCGCGATTATCCGAAATCGTTTCACTCGGCGACACGAACGCGAGACTCGCGATTATAAAGTTTGATCTCGATTCAATCGCGGGGTCAGTGTTCACACTAATCGCGTAACTATATTATACAAGGGAGACTGAGTCAGAGGGGACTGAAAATTTCATTCGCATATACGGAAACTCGAACTGCGATGCGAATATGAAATTCCCGCTGCCGCGAATCGCTTCGCTAATTATGCAGGTGTCGATTTACTTTTAGAACACGGTCGTGCGTGAACTCTGATAATTTCCGAAAACATTTTCCAAGTCGCGTTTAAACGTTTCCCCCCTCCCCTCCCCTCGATGCTTTATAATCGAACGATTTCATAAATTCGTCCGTTTCGCATGCGGATTTTTTTGGTAGAACACAATCGATTGTGTTCGGTTTAACAATGCGTTCCAGTGCATCGACACCGCCGTTCACTGTTCCCGACGGTTGTATAATATCTTTTAAATAGCTTCGAGCGCTCTCCGCTGTTAGAGTACGCGCGTATAGGAATTCTGTTGCACATTTTTCGACGATACACCTATTCCGGAATATTGATCCGCCCGAGCACGCCGGTGTAATGGAATTTTCTGCAATGTTTTTTTACGTTTTCATCACTCTGCCGTGCCGCATTTTTTATTGTCGCGCGATGCCGTCAAAATGGCCGGCCCTTTCGACCTAAATTGAATTCATCCGATTTGGACGTATTTCTTCGAATTTATTTTCTCCGGGCGTATTCCTTTGGTGCACTTTCTCTTTTATCCGTCAACGAATCTCGAATGTCTCCGAATGTGCAAAATAATTTCTCTGTTTTCCTTTTATTTTTAAACAAAATTATATCGCAAAAAGTGATTTTTCAAATACCCTTCCGTAACCCTATAAACCTCGACAAATATTGTTAAATTCTACGCGTTGAAATATCGTCGGTTTGTTCTCTCTTCGAATACGTTTATGGATTATGTATTTATTGGACGAAATACCTTTTGGCGCGTCGTGATTGGACGAAAAAAGAAGAACCCGTGTCGAATATCTTTCCGAGAACTATCTCTTACGGAAATTCTGTCAAAACCGCCACGATTTTTCAGGCCCTTTCGACAGTCCGTTCCATTAAAAGTTAATCAGTATTTACTCGGCTAAATATTGAAATATAACAAATTACAAAAACTATCGTTTCTCGATCAAAAGACAAGGTCGCCTCGGCTTTTTAAAAGTGTAAACCCGTATTTCGAACTTCGCGGCGTTATGAAATTATATGTTCAACGACCTTCGGTGAGCTTAACTTCAGCAGTTAGGGTTGCGCAACAAAAGCGTTAACATCGCAATGCAATTATATTCGAAATTCGAAAGAAATCGTTAAAACGTTTAATCCCGCTATCCGATCGTTTTCAAATCTTTGCACACGTCACTTTCTTGCCAAGCGTCGTAACAGAGTGGTAAAAACACCAAATAATTATGAAACGAAATTGAACCCTTACGGACTGCTCTATTGTTTACCGGAGAAGGGAGACGGAACGGAAATTATTGCGAGCATCTGATGTATGACCGGTTCTGACCGATATCGATATAATTATCGACGCAAGAGTCGCGGTGGTTGATGAACGTCGACCGAGCTGTCCCATCGTAGTTCCTTTGGGCTTCAAAGCTTACCCCGAAGTCGCTGACGGCCAAAGAGACCAGCAGGTAATTGGATGCAGTCCGCAGCCTCTTGTACCGATAGAAAGCGGCCAGAATAATGGAGTTGCCGGAGACGGTGATCGGCGATAAAATGCAGACTATTGACACCGCCAAAACCACCGAGACAGGATTGACGTCGAGCCGCGTATCGATCTTGGTCACCGTCGGCAGAAGCGCGGCCGTCAATTCCCCGGGCACGGTGGACGGCAACGGGTCCGTCGCGGGCGTTGACATTTTAATTGACAAGGTTCCGTAGACCACCGAGCTCCTCGCCGAGTCTTCAAGTCAGATTCCGCTCGTAAACGTGCCCCTCGTAGGACGACATGGCGCATATCCGGCCGACCAGCACCGCACCCTCGCCGAGATTCGAGTTTAATCGATTGCAACGATGCCGACGCTCGGCCAGTGATCCTTTCCGGTCTCCTCTGTGCATGGAAATCCTGAAATCGAGAAGCGATCCGGTATTTAGACGAACCCTTTGGGCGAATTGTTCTGACGTTTTATTCATTATTTATTATCGCGAAACTATTAGGTCTACCGGAAAGTTCTGTCCGATAGTGTCACTTCAAGTTTCAATCCATATTCACGCGTTGATTTGAGACATGTATGACTATCTCTCTTTATCATTGCATTTACACACATGTACTCTTCTAAATAAACTGAAACAAAGATGTCTCATGTCATTATTAAATGAGACGCGATCGTAAAAACATGGCTACCGATGATAATGCCAGACCACATGCTGCTTTGGCGACTCGTCAGAAAATCGCAGAGCTAGGCTGGGAAATTCTGTCGCATGTACCATACTCCCCAGACCAAGCACCCTCCGATTATCACTTGTTTCTCTCTTTGCAAAACTTTTTACAGGAAAAAATTCAATACTGAAGCTGATGTTAACCAAGCACTAGTTCAGTTCTTCGCCTCTAAAAATAAATCATTTTCTAAAAATGGCATTTGCAAGTTGCCATCACGCTGGCAAGAAGTCATAAGTAACGATAGAAAGTATATTCTACAATAAATATTATTAAATGTGTGAAAATTGTGTTATATTTCAATTCAAAAACGGACAGAACTTTCCGGTAGACCTAATATTATCTACAGAGTGCGTCGCAGGAAGCGGACGGTTTTTGATATGAAATTACGAGTTCATGTGTCGAGATATTTGTTTCCAAATGAGCCGTTTATTTTGGAAGTGGCATAAGTCACTTTTTATTTTTTTTAAATGAGAAGATACCGTTCAATTGTAATTAGTGTTACCATTAACTCGATTTTTTGAAAAAGTGACTATGCCACTTTCAAAATAAACGGCTCAAATGCAAGCAATCGAAAGTACAGTCCTCGCGCGACTAGGTGGTACCCTTGTGTTTATGTTCCCCCTCTTATTAGCTGCCTCGCTGCCGCAGCTATCGGTCGCTAGCGACCGCCGTCGATCTTCGATAGGCGCGGTAGTGGGGCGCCTAATAAGAGGGGGGAATGTAAACACGAAGGTGCCTTCTTGCCGCGCGAGGGCTGTACATTACATGGCATTTTATTTATGGAAGCTAATTTCGCTTAAATGGCGTCCTTTGCTGCGTACATGCTGTTCCAAGCGGTTTCGTAAATTTCCCATTACGCGCGTTTTTCGTGTTTTCGGTAATGAAATTGGGGGAATTCCGATGGATGTGCTACAACGCGAAACGGGAAATTTACGAAAATAAAGTGGCACGTGATGTACTTGTATTCTACTTTTATTTTTAGAAACAAATATCTCGACACATAAATTAGCGATTTCACATAAGAAACCGTCAAGTTTCTTTGACGGACATCGAACTGATTCTGAAATTTTTTTTTTAATTCCAAATATATTTTTTACAGAATTATACAGAAACGAGAACAATTAACTTACGTTATCATCGGAATAATTTTACGATTTCTATTCGAATAATTTGGTGCAATGGAGAGTAAAGAATTATTTGAACAAGTAGATAACGAATAGTTGATATTCGAATAAAATGTTTTCAAATAAATGAAATTCTTCTAGACAAATATAAAAGTATATAATAANACTGAAGCTGATGTTAACCAAGCACTAGTTCAGTTCTTCGCCTCTAAAAATAAATCATTTTCTAAAAATGGCATTTGCAAGTTGCCATCACGCTGGCAAGAAGTCATAAGTAACGATAGAAAGTATATTCTACAATAAATATTATTAAATGTGTGAAAATTGTGTTATATTTCAATTCAAAAACGGACAGAACTTTCCGGTAGACCTAATATTATCTACAGAGTGCGTCGCAGGAAGCGGACGGTTTTTGATATGAAATTACGAGTTCATGTGTCGAGATATTTGTTTCCAAATGAGCCGTTTATTTTGGAAGTGGCATAAGTCACTTTTTATTTTTTTTAAATGAGAAGATACCGTTCAATTGTAATTAGTGTTACCATTAACTCGATTTTTTGAAAAAGTGACTATGCCACTTTCAAAATAAACGGCTCAAATGCAAGCAATCGAAAGTACAGTCCTCGCGCGACTAGGTGGTACCCTTGTGTTTATGTTCCCCCTCTTATTAGCTGCCTCGCTGCCGCAGCTATCGGTCGCTAGCGACCGCCGTCGATCTTCGATAGGCGCGGTAGTGGGGCGCCTAATAAGAGGGGGGAATGTAAACACGAAGGTGCCTTCTTGCCGCGCGAGGGCTGTACATTACATGGCATTTTATTTATGGAAGCTAATTTCGCTTAAATGGCGTCCTTTGCTGCGTACATGCTGTTCCAAGCGGTTTCGTAAATTTCCCATTACGCGCGTTTTTCGTGTTTTCGGTAATGAAATTGGGGGAATTCCGATGGATGTGCTACAACGCGAAACGGGAAATTTACGAAAATAAAGTGGCACGTGATGTACTTGTATTCTACTTTTATTTTTAGAAACAAATATCTCGACACATAAATTAGCGATTTCACATAAGAAACCGTCAAGTTTCTTTGACGGACATCGAACTGATTCTGAAATTTTTTTTTTAATTCCAAATATATTTTTTACAGAATTATACAGAAACGAGAACAATTAACTTACGTTATCATCGGAATAATTTTACGATTTCTATTCGAATAATTTGGTGCAATGGAGAGTAAAGAATTATTTGAACAAGTAGATAACGAATAGTTGATATTCGAATAAAATGTTTTCAAATAAATGAAATTCTTCTAGACAAATATAAAAGTATATAATAAGTAAATATTCTTAAATAAATAAATTTCAGATATTTATCCGAAACGTTTCGAACAGCGCCGAACTCTGTTACAAACACAGAGACCCGCCGAGCTTGTAAAGTTCGCAGAGCTCAGTTTTTACGAACCTCCCACGTTCTCGCAGCTTCCCGATGCCATAGCAGAGTTTGATGTCGGCCTGTAGCTGAGCGCTCGTTGTTTCAAATCGCGATTTAAGACGGTGGCGATAAATTCCTCGCGGAATCACCATCAATTCACGACGGCGAGGCGCATCGGGATGGGGCCCGGAAATTAGACGATTTCGGTGACGATTCCGACCTTGGCCCGATTCCCCGGCATCCCTTGGTCCGCCATTTCACCTTTCCGCCATTGCCGGCGTATTCTATCTGGAACAAACATCCGCGTTCGCCGGTGATTACCTTCCATTACGAGACGGTTTTTTTTTTAACGGCCTGGCGGAACGCTTTCGATAAATCAGAGATCCGCGCGATTAAGCTCAACAGCTGTGCACACGGAGCGTTTCGCGAGCTGCTCGCGTCGAGTGTCGACCAGCAGCTGCCCCCTAGCCTGACACGCTGTACAATTGCTGTCGTGTGGCACTTTGGGGGCAAAGCAAACCACAAAACTCCTTACACGGACGCGGAGTTAAGACTGGGTCTTCCGTACCCAGCCTAATGAACGATGAGCGAAGGCGGCGATTTACCCACGTTCGGACCCCTCGTAGGTGTTCCGTCGGGGGGTGGGTACTAAATTTCTTGTGTATGCCAGATTTGGCGAGGAAACATATCTGCGCCACCTTCGCAGTGGCCAGATTCGCAATAAATGTCGACCAGCAGCGGTCTGCTGCAGAATAATCTAATTACACCGCGCGCGCTAAATCTCCCGCGACCGATTATAAATATTACTCAACGGTCACGCGCGTTTCATTGACCATTACGAACCCCTTTGTCTCGTAACGGAGACATTTCGCGGGGGCGTGTGCGACTCCTCTTTGTTTCGCAAGCGAAGCACAGTCGCAAGAATCGTCTCGTCGATGACGATCATTCATGCTGGTGAAAATAATCGCGCGTGCTCCCGGGACTCGCCATTGTGTCGCGAGACCGAGCTCGGCGCTGCGGAAATTTTTGCGGAACGCGATTGTACTCGCTTCGTCATTAGGCTGTAGATTTTGTGCGTTTTTTTTCTTTGAGAAAAATGAGTAAGCGAAAGATAAATCTGTGGAAACGCGCGTCGCCCGAATTTGGAAATGTCGTTCTATTATTTCTGACTCGCTGAAGTTGTTTAGGAAAGAAACATATTTTTATTTAACTTCTGTTCCTCGCGATTGACTCATCACAGAATTGTGAAGACGTCGCACGAATTTATGAACGTTTTCCTATTATTTCTGATTTAGCAAAATTATCAAAAGAATAGAAACGTTTTTGTTCAACTTTCCTCGCGATTGACTCAGTACAGAATTCTGAAGACGTCGCACGAATTTATGAACGTTCACCTATTATTTCTGATTTAGCAAAATTATCAAAAGAATAGAAACGTTTTTGTTCAACTTCTGTTCCTCGCGATTGACTCATCACAGAATTGTGAAGACGTCGCACGAATTTATGAACGTTTTCCTATTATTTCTGATTTAGCAAAATTATCAAAAAAATAGAAACATTTTTGTTCAACTTCTGTTTCTCATGATTGACTCGATGGAAAGCTGCGAAAACGTCGCACGAATTTAGGAATATTGTTCTATTATTTCGGATTTGTTCAAATTATTAAATGAATGAACACATTTTTTTGTTTAACTCTTGTTCCTTGGGGCTGACCAAATATGAAACTGTGTAAATATTGCGCGCATTTACCAACATCGTTTTATCGCTTCCGGCTTCTGTTCGTCACAATTGAATCGATGCAAAACCGCATAAACATTGCACAAATTTAACAATACTGTTCTATTATTTCAGTGTTTACTAAAGTCGTTAATAGAAGAAACGTATTGTTATCGAACTTCTGATTCTAACAGTTAACTAAAAAATGACCTCCTTTGTGCAAAGATCGATGTGTTCGTATACATAATAAAAGTGTACAGAAATTAGGCCGCAGAAGGTTAGAAACCATTGAGTTCATTAAGTGAAAGGTTATATTTATAAATGATGAAACGTTCGTCGAGTTTGTAAGAAAGTCTGCCTTTGTTAAGCTTTGAACAAACATTTACTTTTCTGATTACATTTACCATAACGAAGGAGAACTTGTTGTAGTCGGCGAGCGAATAACCTTTTCTGCGGAAATTCCTGGAAGATTGGAAATTTCTGGTTCGAAAGTTTTTGTTGGATGTAACCCGATCCATTTAGTTGGGAACCATTAGTAATTATATTCGTTCCGATCCCGCGGAGCTGTTATCGATCTCGCAGAATATATCGCATGAAAATTATGATACAAAATGTAGTCGAATCAGAGAACATATATTCAAATTCTTTAAACTTTTAAATTATACGTTCTATATGAAACATTTTAAGCACACAATTCCATGGTTTCAAAGAATCATGCTAATTGTATCATAAATTTCACGCAAGAAAGTATTTATTTATATTGGTTACAAATCGAATGGTTCGACGAGATATTTTCAGACGCGTTTGAGATGCAATAAATTATTCAGGAAACCGATGTTGATCGCGAAAACTTGGGAAACCTCTCTGCAAGCACGAAAAGTCGATACGTCATCATTTGTCATCCTTGAATACATGCAATTTATATGTAACAACTTTTCATAGAACACATAATTTGAAAGTTATTTGAGGTCCGAATTGTTATATCAAAATACCGTGGAATGATTTAATTGGGAAAGACGTCGCTTTGGAATAATGTTCTATTATTTTCAACTTATTGAAATTATTACAAGAACAAATACATTTTTATCTAACTTCTGTTACTCACAATTGACACAATTTATTTGACTGCTATTAAAATTATTAAAACAAGAAATACATTTTTATTTAACTTCTATATCTCACGATTGACTTAATAGAAAACTGTGTACATTCCTCACGCGACAAGAAAACACCTTCGTGTTTACATTCCCCCTCCTACTAGCTGTCCCACTGCTACAGCCACTAAGAGAGGGAACGTAAATATAAAGGTGCCTTCTTGTCGCGTGAGGATTATTTCCGACTAATTAAAATCGTTACTACAGGAGTCACATTTTTATTTAGCTTATATTGCACACAATTCACTCAACACAAAATTGTGAAGACGTGACACGAATTTAACAATACTGTTCCATTATTTCCGACTCATTAAAATTATTATAAGAAACATTATGTTTATAATTTCTATTTTTAGTGATTGACTTAATAATACAAATCTGTGAAGATATCACACGAATTTAGGAATTTACAGGAATATATTGTCGTATTATTTCCAACTTATTAAAATCATTAAAACAAGAAATACATTTTTATTTAACTTCTATATCTCACGATTGACTTAATAGAAAACTGTGTACAATCCTCACGCGACAAGAAGACACCTTCGTGTTTACATTCCCCCTCTTACTAGCTGTCCCACTGCTACAGCCACTAAGAGGGGGAACGTAAATATAAAGGTGCCTTCTTGTCGCGTGAGGACTGTAAACATTGCACGAATTTAACAACAGCGCCCTATTATATCCGACTTAGTAAAATCGTTACTACAAGAGTCACATTGTTATTTAGCTTATGTTACACACAATTCACTCAACACAAAATTGTGAAGACGTGACACGAATTTAACAATACTGTTCCATTATTTCCGACTCATTAAAATTATTAGAAGAAACATTATGTTTATAATTTCTATTTTTAGTGATTGACTTAACACGTTCCGTGCCACGTGTACCATCGATGGTACACGCTTGCATGTTTACTTAGTGAACTGAACAAATTGTTTACAAGAAATTTAGAACCGAAGAATCAATTTCCACCGCAAGAATGGGCGTTGATAAGTTTTTGTTACGTTGTTATGTGTACGAGAATTAATAATTGCACGTAATACATCAAGTTTTAGTAAAATATCAAAGTGTGAAGATTCGAGTA